AGGCCTACGTGTGTGTGGTTGGCAGCATGATGCAAGACGTAGTGAGTTGTGGCTACTACGAGTGCTCGTGGTGCTGGGCGTCTCGCAACGACGACGAACAAGGAGCTTGAGGATGCATGCTTCGATACCTTGACACCACCGAATCCATCTCAACGCGCATTGAGCGAGGGGCATAACGGAGAGTGCAGAACGTAGGAATCGACCGACAAGGCTATGTCAACGTCAACAACTCTCAATGCCAAAACGTCGAGATCGCAAGAAGGACCGCGACAAAACAACGACCGTAGTTGAGGTCCACGATGTCTCAGTAGTAGTTCTAATGCGCTCTCTGAAAAGAGTGTAAGTAAGGACTGGGGTCCTCGGCCTACCACAATGGTCAAGCAATGTGTACCACCTCGGCGCGTGCGCTCGGCGACGCCGAAGTTCGAAGCCAGAATCTTCGACGCGACCAGACATCTCACTTTCCGCACCCAGAAGCCGGCGCAATGCGGGTCACGCCTCGCGCATACTTGACGCCGCTTGCGCTGCTTGTGCTCTTCCACCACGTGCCAATCCTCATCGCGTGGGCCGTCTCGAGCGTGCGCGAGGCCTGTACGAGCGACGCCTTCCCGGTCATTCGCTACGTGCGCGTGGCTGTTGGGCTGCACAGCGGCCTTCTCGGGCTCTCGGTCATCGCGATTGCTATCACGCTGTGCTTGCCTGTGTTCCGCCCATCCGTGCCAAAGGAAACGTCAATCTTAGTGGCCATCGTCGGCGTCTACGTAGCGCTCGCGGGCTGGAGCGTCTACGGCCTGTACATCCATAACCAGGACTACGGCGCCTGCAACTGGCCGTTCTATCATCCGTCGATCGTGCTCTTCGACACGGTCATGTCGTGGATCGTCGTCATGCTCTGGATGTGCAACAACTCACCGCGGTTTTGCTGCCGCCGAGCGTCCGACCCGGTCAACTACTGGAACAAGCGCTGCCGCCTCTTGTCTATGGTGTGTGTTTGCACCGACTACCGCAAGCAGCAACTCGACATTGATGTCTTCTCTCTTCTGGGCGCTTTCTTGGCGCAGTTTCTCGGCGGTCGCCGCGCGCCTCGCACGGTACGCTGTCGCTCGATCGACTGAAACACGCGACTAAGACGCAATGCCTCTAGTACCAATCGCTGCACAGCCACGACATTGTACTGGCGCTGCGACTCGTCTCCAAGGCACTCGATAGCAGCTGCGATCTACCTCTGTTGCTCACGCTGGTGTAGCGCCAAGCTCATGAGCGACAAGAGGCGACGCCTGCACCGGCGCCGACAAGCAGTCTCCTCGATACGGTACACCGCCGTGCGTGCGTTTGAGATGCGTGGACACTGCCCTCTTGTGTCTTTCTAGTCGACGTTGCTCCAGAAAGCGTCCTACTACGGGCGCCTCTCCGCCGGCATCTACGGCTGGCCCATGTACATCTACTACAACCCGCTCTCGTGCCACAAGACGTGGTCGTGCTGCCAGCCACGCGACGTCAAGCAGCACTTGACGACGGTACCGAGCCGACACACAAATGTACTCTATTTACCATTATTACTAGCTCAAGGCGACGTCGGTGGGTCACGCGTCGCGCCACGCCGTGTCGTTCGTGCAGTACACTGGCGTACATCACACAAATGTTCAGTACATGGACCGCAGCAACTCGATCTTCCAAGTGCCCTTCTCGGTGCTCAAAGACGCTGACGCGAAAGAGCTCATTGTGTGCGTCCGGGGCTCCTTCTCGTGGCACGACATCATCACGGACGTCCTCACGCAGTCGGTCGCGCTCCCAGTCGACGAGACCTGCGTTTCGGGTATGCCCCTTGTCGTCGCTGTAGAAGATGCCGGCAGTTGGTAGGTACGGTGTACGCTCACGAAGGCGCGTACCGCGCCGCCCGCCACATTTACCAAGAGCTCCAGTCCGGTACCCTCAAAACCATATTTTGGGACACTGCCAATGAGCTCTGTGGCCGCGACGACGAGCCTACGGGCTGGCGCGTTGTGCTCACGGGGCACTCACTTGGCGGTGCGATTGCAACGCTCTTGGCGCTCTTCCTCGAAAAGTCCTTCGTCGTCCACGGCTACGTCTTTGCGCCCATGAAGGTGGTGGACGCGATCACGGCCGACCACGCAGCCTCGTTTGTGGACGTGTTCGTCTACGGTGCGACCAATGATTTGGTTGAGAGGACTCACGCGGCAAGCGTTTAGGCGACGACTTTGCATCGCGGCTCTCGGCCATGACTTTGGTATACGGCGCCAGTGACGAGGTGTCTCACTCGCCGTAGGCGCGGCTCCGGGAAGAAATGCTGGTGGAGCTCAAGAACGCCTCGAACGTTCCCCTCTACAAGGTGTATTGGCACGGATTCGACCCGACGTGCTGGGCGCCCAGCGTGCATGCGCACTGGAACGACTGGGAGTTTATCGAAAACCGCGACGGTACGTCAGCCGTCGGTATTGCCAACATCATCGTGCGACGTGATAGAGGTCGACATGCAGGTCGCCGGGCGCATCTTTCATGTGGAGCCCGAGGCGCCACGCGGCCTCTGGCCCCGGCTATGGCCGTCGAAAAACCCAGTGAGTTGCACCACCTGGATCAAGGCCATTTGAGATGCATCGTGGTGTAGGTGCTCACGTGCACGCAGCGATCACGCAGCCAGTTTGATCGGCTCTGGCTCAACTACCACGCAGGCACGGACCACTTTCCACACCACTACGACCAGTACTTGGCGCACGCTGCTCGGCGTTTGGAGGTGCTTGGCCAAGCCGACGCAGCGTTCTTTGAGGAGGCGCGTGTGTAACTCTAAACACTTTCTACTGCACACGCGAGAAACCAGAATTGTATTGGGCAGATGTATTAACAACAATGGTTTTTGCTTTGCCATCTACGCAACGCAGCTTTGGCCAACGGGAATTGAACTGGCGAAGGTGCAATTTGGTGCTGTGGTGTGCTTCGGTGCGGTTCGGCCCAGTCGTACTTAGTATAGCTCGCACTTTATCCGCGCCCATTGCTCGAGAGTCTCGGCAGGATGGCGATGCTGCGGCCCGTTCTGCGGCTGGGCCTTCTAAGCGCAGTGTCCAGCCGCCACCAGAGCTCGGTGCGTCTTGCAGGCGCTGTGGGCCTTTTTGCCGGCGGGCTAACGGCCGCAAACGTCTCGTTGACAGAGACGCACTGCCGCCACGCGCAAGTCCACAAGAAGCCGCCAGTGCTGCATGCCTCTGGCCTCGCGATTCTTCCGGTGCGGCGTCATTGCAGCAACTGCATTCGCTAGACACTTGCTTGCTCTGTAGGTCGCGACAAGTGTGTGGGCGCGTATTGCACGCGTCCTGCGCTTGCTCTTCCACTGCGGGCGCCTCGTTCTCCTGGGCACGCCGCTACTCTTGACGTACCCCGTAGCACGCGTCTGCAAGGCCGACTTGCCCAACTGGTGGTGGCGCCTCGCGCTCTGGTCTGGCGGCCGGTCCAGCCCTGCGATCATCAAGTTTCTCCAATGGGCCAGCACGCGCCGTGACCTTTTCTCGGTCAAGTTTTGCGACACGTTCATGGCGTTCCACTCGCACGTGCAGACGCACGACTGGGCGTTCACCGAGGCCATCTTGCGCGACGCGTTCGGCCCGACGTGGTCCGAGCACTTGTCGCTCGAGCGCGAGCCAATTGGGTCCGGTGTCATTGCGCAAGTTTACCGTGGACGGCGCGTCTCGACGGGCGAGCGCATCGCTGTCAAGGTCATTCACCCACACATTCAGGACCTTGTTGCGCTCGACCTCGAGCTTCTCTGGCTCGCGGCGCGGGCCATCGACTGTGTGCTTCCGAACCTATCGGCCAAGGTCGGCATGGTGTCCTTTGCCCAGGTACTGCAGCCAAATTTGAACATGGACTGAATCGATGCATGGTAGGTCATGTCGAGCCAGCTCGATTTTCGCATCGAGGGCCAGAACCTCGCAACGTTTCGAGAGCACTTTGCCAACCGCAGAAAGGTGGCGTTCCCCGAACCCGACTTGGCGTGGACGACCGAGAACGTGCTTGTCGAGAGCTTCGTCGACGGCGTGCACATCATGGAGCACGTGACGGCGCAGCGAAGCTACGACCGACCACTCGCGTCGGTCACGATCGACGCGTTTCTCCGCATGCTCTTCTTGGACAACTTTGCGCACGGCGACATCCACCCAGGCAACATCCTCGTCACGACCGATGGGATTGCGCTCCTCGACGCCGGCATCGTCAACGTCCTCGGTGGCTCCGACTACGACGATTTTGTGGAGCTCTTCCACGCGATCGTCAACAAGAATGGGTACGAAGCGGGGCAGATCCTCCTCGCGAAGAGTCCGCGCCACCACTGCGTCGACCAAGACGCGTTCTGTCGCGGCATCAAGTCGATCGTCGACCGAGCGACGGCCAATTTGAGTTTAAAAGACGTCCCCGTCGGCGACCTACTCACCGAGGTACTCGAACTCTGCGGTGCCCACCACGTTGCGCTTCAAGGCCGGTTCGTCTCGGTCGTTGTCTCGATCGGCGTCCTTGAAGGCGTCGGGCGGCTCTTGGACCCGGAGCTCGACTTGCTTCAGGTGGCACTGCCAATCCTCGTTCAAGCCAAGCTCCAACGCATGAAGGCTGCCGCGTTAGCATAGGGTATACGATCTAATAGACAGAGGAGTAGAAATGGAGTCAATGAGACGGTCGGTGCGACGGCGCAGTCTCTGCGTATCGGATATCAACACGCTCGTCGATGTCAAATTTCATTGATCGTCGACGCGCGATCGACCGCTGCTTCACGTCAGATATTCGTTCGAATCACGCAATACGAGTGTGTATTCCATTCGACCACCTCAGTAGCTTGTAGCTGCTTCGTGCCGCCACGCTGCCTGTTGTCTTGGTGCGTGAGTGCGAGTGAGGAGGGTGGTGATCGTCCAGCGTATCTTTGTCCGGATAAATTATTACTCCGGATAAGACCACCGTTGTAGTTTGTCGCCAAACTCGGACAGCTCGAGCAGCATGGGCAGCGTCGCAAGCGTCGCCGCCGCATGCGCGGGTCTTCTCGCAGCCGCCGTGGGCGGCGCCGGCGTCTTCGTCTTTTGGCTTTTCCATGGCATGTACAACTCCATCCAAGCGCTGCCGCCAACACCCGAAATGCTCGCCGACAGCGATGCCTGCGTGCTCTTCCGGTACCTCCCGATGCTGCGTGCGCACGTCGCATGGCGACCACTGGGCGTCTTCCCAACGCCCGTGCACACAGCGACCTTGCCGTTATCGAGCTCTAAGCGAACTTTCTACCTCAAGCGCGAAGACCTCTCGAGCCCGCGCTACGGCGGCAACAAAGTCCGCACACTCCAGCACCAGGTGGCCGCTTGCGAAGTGCATTTGGCCGCGACGCCCGACGCCAAGTTCATTTGCATCGGGTCCGCGGGCTCGAACCTGATTGTTGCCGCGGCTGTGCATGGGGCCCACTTGCCCATCTACCCCTGCTACTCCAAGGTCGACGCGCCAGACCTCGACAACACCATCAACGTCCTCTCGACGCTCTCGTTCAACCCGGCCAAAGTCTTTTTCTGGCGCCACAGGCTCCAAATGCTCCGCGCGCTCGTTAGC